GCGCCCCCCGGCCAAGAAACGTAGCGTTGATAAGCAGCACGACGATCTTCGGAAAGCTTCAGGAGCTCTCCTGCGTTGTCAATATGTCACTCCAGCCTCCTGGACGGCACAATAGTCCCCGCTGTGTTTTCGGCGGCCTTACAAAGGACCTCCGAGAAAACCTCCCCCGTGACCTCCAGGACCTCCATATCCACCAATTTGTTGGCAACCTCCTTGTTGTATGCCTCCCTCACCTCCTCCCCCTTGAGCTGTTTCGCGTCGAATTTACGAGGACGAGTCCACCGAGACAGCCCAGAATGAGGAAGGAAACGACGTTTAGGAGGAAGACGAATACGAGCCCGGACAAGACGATGATCTGTGTCACACTCAGCAGCAATAAGAGGTATGACCGATGTGACAGAGCGACGATCCCGCGCACGAGTGAGAATGTGATCGATGCTGTACCAGCGTCTGCTCGGAACGTGGAACCACGTGCCCCTCCCTGCCGCATGAAAGAATGTGTCGGCAACATCGAGGGAATGGCCTGCGCAGAGCTCCACGAGCCACTGACCGGCTTCGTTTACCTACCCAGGACCGCATGGCCCCACCGGATCGAAACCGTCGGGCACAGCAACAGAGGAGCCCACACGCGCGTTGAAGTCTCCCATCACATACAACACATCTGAAGCAGGCGTAGATTGAATAACACTCTCAAGATCAGCATAACAAAAAGCATCATGTTCAGCAACAGGAGAACCAAAAATAGGAGCGTAGACAGCAGAGCGATGAGGGAGGAGCCGGACGCTTAGAACACGAGAAGAGACAAATTCCACCTCCGATCCTCCATCCCTCCAGAATCTCGACCACTCTTCGTCCATGGCGAAACCAACGCCGTGGCGACCACCATCTGGAGGCCCGCAGTGCAACACCGCCCAATCATCGAGAGAAAACTCCCCGCGGCCGGCCCAGCGATGCTCACTGAACGCACAACAACCAATGCCAAAGCGGGAAGTCTCCTCCAGAAAAGAGGTGCACTTAGCAAAACCAGAACCAGATACTGTCACAGCGCCAGCAGCGTCCACGTCCAGTTCGAAAAAAATTATCCCGGCAAAGCAACCGAACAGCGATGTGTAGGAGCATATCTGGAAGCATTCCCCTTAAGATTCAAATGAGAATCCAGTTGTAGAATTCTGCTGTTCTCGCAGTCGTAGTCGCATTCGCGATGACAGTCGCAGTGGCAACGGCAGTCACAGTCACAGCCTCAGCCTTAGCCTGCCTCAGCCTCAGCCTCAGCCTGCCTCAGCCTCAGCCTCAGCCTCAGCCTCAGCCTGCCTCAGCCTCAGCCTCAGCCTGCTTCAGCCTCAGCCTCAGTCTGCCTTCAGCCTCGGCTCAGCCTCAGCCTGCCTCAGCCTCAGCCTGCATCAGCCTCAGCCTCAGCCTCAGCCTGCCTCAGCATCAGCCTGCCTCAGCCTCAGCCTCAGCCTGCCTCAGCCTCAGCCTCAGCCTGCTTCAGCCTCAGCCTCAGTCTGCCTTCAGCCTCGGCCTCAGCCTCAGCCTGCCTCATCCTCAGCCTGCCTCAGCCTCAGCATCAGCCTGCCTCAGCATTCAAAATGTGGCCCGGGAATGGAGTTCTGGGAACTCGAAGACCACGAAGTGGCCTACAGTTGGCTCCGGGCATTCAAAATGTGGCCCGGGAATGGAGTTCTGGGAACTCGAAGACCACGAAGTGGCCTACAGTTGGCTCCGGGCATCCAAAATGTGGCCCATTCAAATGGCATCCGGGAATGGAGTTCTGGGAAGAAGAGCACGAAGTGGCCTACAGTTGGCTCCGGGCATCCAAAATGTGGCCCGGGAATGGAGTTCTGGGAAATGGAAGAGCACGAAGTGGCCTACAGTTGCATCCGGCCCTCCAGAATGTGGCCTGGGAATGGAGTTCTGGGAAGTCGAAGAGCACGAAGTGTGTGACTGTTGGTGAAAAACGAGTTCGGCACAGGCCCGCCCGGCAACTCCCAACACCTGCCCGGACCCCCCTGTGGAGTGATCTGTGAGCTGTTTTTAGCCCACTAGAAACCTACCAGTCTTCGATGTTAGGTAAAATTGCGCGAACATTCCAGCATCCAATGCCCTGCGCCCTCTTGCAGGAGCGCCGGCTTACAGCAGGAGAAGGCGGAGGGGGCGCACCCTGTCCATCACCGTCCGGCCGGCGCCCGCCCGCAAGGGGTACTGGGCCACCAGCCGTCACTCGTTCTCGATGACGCACCCGGCCTCCTGAGGCTCGGTTTCTTCCACACCTTTTCTTGCCGAAAAAGAAATAAGGACGGGCCGGCTTGACAGGCCCTCCCGCCCTGACGCCCCCGCTGGAGTCCGGGATGGGCCCCAAGGGACCCGAATGCCCATTCCCACAGAACTCGGGGGTCGCGTCACTCCGTTGGCCCACCTTGTGAATGCTGACGTAGCAAGTAGCTGGTGGTTCACCCTGACACCTGCGCATCTCTGGTGCACGACCAATTGGGCACAGCTGCCATCGACAAGCGTCTAAAAGTGCACAAATGGTCCAACATTGAATTGCCATAGATTGTGCACAGCATGACATGTCGAACGCCATGGCAAGCTTCTGAATGATGATGCGGCTGAGGTGGAGCAGCCGTCTTCGCCAGGGACCTCGGCAAGAATGCCAAAACGGCCTCGGCGATGAAGCCAAAATCGTTGGTTTTACTAGGGTGTTGGCCCCATTTTAGCCTCCTGGGGGGGGACCCTAAGTAAAGCTCCCCTCTTGTTTGATCGATTTTCTCCAAAATGGCCCCAAGAAGCGCCCAGGAGGCCCCAAGAGGTCCCAAGATGGCTCCAAGATGGCCCCAAGAGGCCCCCAAGAGGCCCCCTGGGGGCCCCCAAGAGACCCCCAAGAGGCCCCAAGAGACCCCCCAGAGGCACCCAAAATGCTCCAAGAAGCCTCGGCAAGAGTGCCAAAATGGCATCGGCGAGGAAGCCAAAAACATGGGTGTTACTAGGGTGTTGGCCCCATTTTAGCCTCCTGCGGGGGGACGCAAAGTCATGCTCCCCTCTTGTTTGATCGATCTCCTCCAAGATGGCCCCAAGAAGCGCCCAGGAGGCCCCAAGAGGTCCCAGATGGCCCCAAGATGGCCCCAAGAGGGCCCCAAGAGGCCCGCAGGAGGCCCCCAAGAGACCCCCAAGAGGCCCCAAGAGACCCCCAAGAGTCACCCAAGATGCTCCAAGAGGCCTCGGCGAGAACGCCAAATCATTGATTACACGAAGGTTTTAGCCACATGTTGGCCTCTTGGGGGGGGGCACTGCTTGAGATCAAGAGCGCCTGGGAGAGCCCAAAATGACCTCCAAGATGGCTCAAGCCATTCCAAGATGTCTCAGAATGGCTTCCTCTGTGTGCTGCCCACTCCCCTGATCGAGGCAATTCATCTGGGCATCGTTGCTGGATGGGCTGGTGGGGGTTCGCGAAGCGTCAACAATTCAACATAGCTCCAAGAGGCCCGACGAGGACAACAAGACGGTTCCAAGTGCTGTCGGAACTTCCTCAGACCCCCGAAGAGGCCGAAATCCTGCACACGTAGGTTTAACCAATGTGTGTTGCTGCCTCGCCTTTCCGCTTCCGAAGCGCATTTGAGGCCTCAAGATGGCCCCAAGATGACCAAAGATAGGGCAAAGTTGGGCCGAAGAGGCTCCCAAGATGGCCCAGACAAGAGCGCCCAAGATCGCCCCAAGAGCGTCCCACGAGAGCCCCAAGGGGCGATTTCGAGAGTTCCAGGGGGGGGGGGGGAATAAGGACCCCCCCCCTCCGCTGATCGATGGCCTCCAAGATGGCCCCAGAGGCCCTCCAGGGCTCCCAAGAGGCCCCCAAGAGAGCCAACAAAGCATTCAAAAAGCGTGCCAAGAGGGCCCCAAGAGGCGCCCCAGAGGCCCTCCAGGGCTCCCAATAGGCCCCCAAGAGAGCCAACACAGCATTCAAGAAGCGTGCCAAGGGGGCCCCAAGAGGCAGCTTGCCGCCTCAACGACCTCCGCCCCTCGCCCCCTCGCGGACCCCAGGGGTGGCCCGAAGAGGCCCTCCGAAGCCACCACCCCTTTGCTCCCAGAGCTCTCTCTCTCTCTCTCTCTCTCTTCATCCCGGTTGCCCGCTTTGTTTCGCTGTCTGCGTCTGTTCGTCGCTGTTCCCCGTCAACTCTCACGGGCAACGTTTCGAGCGGACTGGTGGCGATACGAGAACGAATCGGGCGGGAACCGCTGCTGCTGTAAACATGGGGCTGGCAACCCAATTGAAGCCTCAGGACTTGCCTACGTAAAGCTAGGTGCGACCCCCGGGTGGGGCAATTCAGGTGAACAGCGAAAAGGGAGACCGCGCACGGGGGAGCATCTACATTTTTGTAGACGTGAGGGATCCACAACAACAGTCAGTATACTAGGGATCGCTCTGATCTGCTCGGGTGCCGTTCAACACGTAAATCCAAAACCCTCAAACCCGCCATCTTCGTCTTCGATCATGCCCCCTTTGGGGCTTATCTTCCATACAAGCAACGTGCAGTTGGCGCAGCCGCTAAAACCATGGAAGATGGGAAGGAAAGGACGAGGAGGCGGGAAAAGGACGGAGCACAAGACAGGGAGAGAGAGAGAGAGAGAGAGAGAGAGAGGCAGAGCAAGAGAGAGACAGAGAGAGAACAGAAGGCAGGTGATTACGAGCAAGAGGACAAGCGGCAGAACCAGACGGGCGGGTAGGGTGAGGCGGACCTTCACTGGCGGGCCGGGCGGGTGGGCCTTAATACGGCTGGGTCGAGCGGGCGGATGGCTGAAGCGTCAGTCCCGGATGGATCGCTGGGAAGTCTCGCGAAAAAGATCGATTTCCCACGTAAACCATGAGAAAGTCCAGAGCGAGAGCGCGATTCCTGATTGTCGCGAGAAGGCGATGTGGAGCAAATTCGAGGAAGAATCAGGCTGGGACGGGCCCAGTGATGTGCTAGCCCCGAGAGGAGCCCTTCAATGGAGCAAGTACAAGGGGCACTGGATGGGAGGATCAACACAACTCGGCGTCTAGAAAGGAGAGCTCAACAGCAAAAACAGGTGCCGCCCGGGCAGAGAGGGGAGCGCTCCGCGGCCCAGTCAGGGGCGCAGCAGGCTCCGCAGGCTCTGCCACCTCGGGCGCGGGTCCTGCTCACCCTGTCGTGGCCTTCCTCCTCCTCCTCATACGCCCCCTCCCTCCCTCCCTCCCTCGCTCCACCCTCCACCTCCTCCTTCCCTCCCTTCACCCTCCACCCCCCCTTCCTCCCCAACCCTCCCTCCTCCCTCCACTCCTCCTGTTTCTGTCCCCCTTTTCCCTCCTCCTCTTCCTCCTCCTCATCCACTCCTTCCCATTATCAATGTTTTCTCCCTGTCACACATCGAGACGTGTCGGTCGGGCGGGCCGGGCGCTTCGCCTGAGTCTCCCTCGCCATGTCTGGTCCCGAAGTTCGAGATTTGCCGCAGTTTCGAAGATGGAGGGCGGGTCCTTGTCAAAATGTGGATCTCGCCTCGAGGACGCGCACATTCGCAATAAAGGTGTGCAATACTTTCCCGGATGCAGGGTGTGCTGCTTTCAAACTGCGGCTCGTGAACCCGCGCCGCGCACAATGGTTTATGACACATCTGCAGCAATTGGACTGACTCTGGGAGCACGTCATTTTTAAAATTGCGACATCCCCATGGCGCCGCGAACGTTTGCCATACAAGCGTGCAACACCTTGACGGGTCGAGGACGGGTGGTTCTGAAGAAGTGGCTCTCGATTCTGTGCAGCGCACGAACAGTTTGCAAAGGTGCCAAGGATGGTGGGCGGTTCCTGCTCAATATATGGCTCTCGCCTTCGCGCCGCGCACATTCGCTTCAAATGTCTGCAGCACTTTCACCTATTCGTGTCGTCAAAATCCCAGGCATGGCGTACTGGCACGTTTTGGAATGGCCAGGGCGCACAGTGACGTCAATTCGCGGTTCTGAAGTCCCACGAGTGGTGCTCTGGCACGAGTTGGGACTGCCAGGACGAAACAGTCAATTTGATCCGCGGCGCGTTGAGGTCCCAGGAGCGGCGCTCTGGCACGATTGACAAACAATCCCAGGCCTTTTGTCTGCCTAGAGGGCACTTCCCCGCACAGAACAAAATCATGCAGGGCCCTGTGAAGAGGGAACTTGGAGGGAGGGTGTATTGCAACATCGTTGATGCATGTTGAGGTAAACGAAACAATGACGAGGGTCAAGCCGGGTGAGGATAAACCAAATAATCTCTCAGATCTCGCGGCTCTGGAGGATGTCTCGGGCGCCGCGGCCCTCTCAGAGTTTTTCAAAACGCTCTGAGAGCGTTCTGGGAAACTCTCGAACGGATCCATTATCGTCCTAGCCCTGTCCGGTTGATGGTGGCTGCATCGTCGTACTGACGAAGCCTCCAACCCCAGGGGATCAAACTAGGGCAAGGTGCCCCCTGGAGCACTGCTCCAAGGGCCACCGGCGGCGCACGCACTTTAACGTGCAGAAGCGAAGCAGGGACAAACAGACAAACAAACACGAAGAAGGAGAAAAGAAGACGCAGGAGAAGGAAGAGGAAATACGGAAGTCCTCCTCTTCCTCCTGTTTCCTCCCACCTCTGCGGTCGATTATCGTTGGCTGAGCAACACGGGAGTCCTCCTCCTAAATCGGGCCTGGCGCGGCGCACGAGAGCGCCGCGCGAGGCAGGCCTCCTCCGCCTCCACCTCCTCCTCATCCTCCTCCTCCTCCTTCTCCTCCTCCTCCCTCCTCCCATCTCCTCCCTCATCCCTCTTTCTCCTCCTCCCTCCTCCTCCTCCTCCTCCTCCTGCCTTCTCCCTCCTCCTCCTCCTCCTCCTCCCTCCGCCTCCTTCAACTCATCCTCCTCCTCCTTCAACTCAATATTTCATCCTTATCCTTATCACCCTCCCCGTCCTCTTCCTCCTGGTCCTGCTCCTCAGCATGCTTCATGTGTGCTCCTCCTTCCTCGTGTCTCTCCATCCTTTTGCTTGTCCTCATCCTCCCTCCCTCCTGCCTTTTGCTTATCCTCCTTGTGCTTGTCCTTCTGCTTGTCTCTGATCCTTTTGCTTGTTCTCCTTCCTCTTCCGATGTTCTTGTCCTCCTCCCTTTCCCGTTCTAGCTATTGCATTGTTGCTCCTCCCGGACCTGCTTCTACTCGCACCCCTCCTCGTCATCATCATCCATCCCTGTCCCCCTCATCCCCTCACCCTTCTCCCTCCTACTCCCCCCTACTCTTTGCCCTGCCCCCTCTCTTCCTTATGCTGCTGCACCTCCTCCTTCTCTTCCCTCCCAGCCCTCCGGCGTTCTCAACACGTCTGGTGAGGAGCTGTCTCGATCATCCAGTTTCGAACCGTGGGCTGCTTTTGTGACGGGCCTGGAACCACAACGGACATCCATAGAAATGAAGGAATCGGGAGACATCGGCGGACGATCTGTTGTGAGCCGCCGCAGATCTGTGCCCAACGACGCCCTTGCGGCTGCTGCTGCTCCGCTCCTCTGCCTGCTGCTCCTGCTCCTGCTCCTGCTCCTCCTCCTCCACCCGGGCAACCAGAAAAAACAAACCGAAACCTTGTCATGGACAGGGGACTGGGGTGTCGTCCGTGCTGCTGGGGCATGAACAGCCACGCCAGCCCCAGCGAGGCCTGAACAAAAAACAGGTCCTCGTCGGGACTTCAAGACTTCAAGACTTCCTGGCTTGCGGGGCTCCCGAGTTCACGGTCTGCCCTGTCTCCCGATTGCCGACTTCCCAGGCTCGCACGTCAAAAGAGGAATCCAACGCATCAGTCTTTACATCAGTATCTATCAATGTATAATGCATGTGAATACTGATTGTGTCAAAATCTTGAGGGGTCTGGTGAGACTTGGGTGGTGCCTCTTGCCGTCGCCGATCCCCCGCCTGGGCTGCACCGGTGCGGCCCCGTGCGGCTGGGAGGGGCACGAAGACGCCTCCAGCGCGGCGGCGACCGGGTCCCTCTCCTCCTGCCGTGGGGAGAGGGGCGTCCTGGCGGAAACGGTCCCAGATCCCGTGTGGATACACTTGTTTGCACCTCCCAGAAAACTCAGACGACGGCAGGGTCAGGGCACATTCGAATGAGGTTAATCGAGTCTGGATTATGCATCTGGCGCCGCGGCAGCTCCAGCGCACTCCACAATGCGCTGAGAGCGTTCCAGAACGCTCTGGAGCGATTTATCCTCATTTTAGGCCTGCCTGACGAGTTGGGCCAGAGCGGATGGGGTAAGATAATGAGGGCATCGTCGACACATCGGCGATCTGGCGCGATCGGGCGACACGATCTACTGTGGCCGTATTTGAGTGACGAAGAGAACCGGGGGTGTTGCGCGAGATGACGTAGCGACCTTTCGCCGCGGCTTACGCGGGCCGCCAGCGCGGCACGCCACAGTTGAGACGAGGGCGCTGACGCGCGACCTTACGCGAGCAGCTTTCGCGCCAATGTCGGCGCAACCGAGCCCGTCGTCCTGCGTCGCTCATCTGGGAGGCCTCCAAACACACTGACCCTGAGTCCTTCTGTCCACGGACCAGGGGCCCAGCGAGTGGCCCGAGGCCGCACACGGCGACAACAGCTCGAGAACCCCTGTCCTCCAGGAACCGCTCTGGGACCTCCGGCGACGCGATATTTTAAGAGTCTCGGGGCCCCTGGCCTCTCGAACTTTTCCCCAGAGCCAGGCTGTTGTCCAGGATTGCTCTTGGACGGCGAAACATACAAACGCAGACAGAATCACGCTCCTGAAGCCTGTCTTTTCTCATGCTGATCCTCGAAGACCACCGGGTAGGCCTCGCGCATAGCGGAAATCCGCCGCCGCTTCTGTCCGGCCACGCGCACGATGGGGTAGGGCGACCGGGGGGGGCCTCCTGAAAGGCGCTCGGCTTCTCAGAAGGAAGGGGTCCTCTTGGAAGGGTCCGGAGTCTGGAGGCCTTCAAGAAGGCCTCTTAGAAACCAGGAGGGCTTCTGAGAAGCTCCTCGCCTGCTTCGAAGCTCCCCGACTGCTTGCGACAGGTTCGTGTCATGACAGCCCCAGCGCTGGTTTCTGATAGCACGTGGATCGTTCAACCATACTGTTCGATCGCCAGACCTTCAACATTCAACCTTCAACCTGCGATCGCCAGCTCGTTCCGTATTGGCCGATTATGTGCCACCGGCGGCGCTCAACCTTGACCGCCCGCGCTGGGGTCGGAGCCGCGTCGACACAACACGAATCGATTTTATCACGGAAGGTATGTCGACCCCAATCCCCGACTTTGTGGTGAATTTCGACCGGACCCAAAATGTTGGTGCCCATCCTCGATATAGGGTGCGTCCGATTAGCCCCCTGGGGGTGTATCCCCGCGGGGTAGCTCATCGACGTCCACAGACAACCGAATGCATTCGACGAAACGCGCGCGGATAAGCGAAACCGAACGCGGACGGCACCAGCACACTCGAATACCAGTGTCGAGTGACCCGATGCAAATTTCCTCGGTCGACTTGCCTGGGTTGGCCTTCTCTCCCCGAAACTCATCGGGCGCACGCTGACATGGAGTAGGGATCCGTGGATCCGACGCGTGGGCGCCCCATCCATGGATTGGGGAAGGCACCCCCAACACATGAGGCCAATGCCGCCTCGCCTTCCATAATCCGTGCTGTGGCGGCGTGCACAAGGGGGTAGGGAAAGGGGAAGGCTTCTTACAAAAAGCCTGATCCTTACAGGGTGCCAGCCTTACACCTATAGACAAAGTCCAGGCCTTCTAAGAAACAGGGCTGCTTCAATGAAACCGTCCTACCGCCCTCTGCGTGTGGCTTAATGTTTTGAGCAGGGACCAACCGTCCCGGCATTCCAGAGCCAGGCCTACCCCGCTGTTCTTTAGAACAAGGAGATGTCCAATAGCAAAAATACTGCTCTGAATACATACGTGCATGAAAACAGGACAGTCTGAGCCAGACCTGTACTCGGAGCACTTCGTACAGATCACAACGAGGTTCTTAGAACACTCGTAGCTGGGCTTATAGGCGCAAGCCAGGATAACTCGCCCCTTCTTGTTGTTGGCGCTCCCTCGAACCTTGGCGGCGCACACAGGGGGGTGGAGGGAGGGGGAAGGCTCCTTGGAAAGAGGCAGCTTCTCAGAAGGCACGGGCCTTACATCTCTAGACCAGGCCCGCGCCTTCCAAGAAGCAGGGGTGCTTCTGAGAAGCCTTCCCCCCTCCCTCTCCCTGTGCCTACCCCCCTCTGCGCGGCGAGGCATCGCCTGCGACGGCAGGAGGCCCACCCCCTCGCCCTATCTACTCCCCCTCGACGTGCGCGCCGCCGCGCCTTCTGCGGGCCGGCGCCGTCGGCGGCCCCTCTGCCGGCGAGGCGCGCGCAGCCGCCCTTCGCGAGGGGCACGCCGGAGCTTTCCTGCCGGCCGGCCACGGCTGGGGGGGGCGGTGCTGCTGACGCCCCTGCTAAGACTCACAGAGAATTCTAGGCTACAGACATGGACTTCGCTTGAAGGGTTTTCTTAACCAACAATCCCCGCCCCCATCCACATGCTACGAAGACAGGAGGCATCAAAGCGCCCACGGTCCAGTCCGAATTCCTGATCTTCTTGAGCGAACTCTGGTGTCAGCAAAACGTCCTGATCCATGCATACACGTGCGAAGACAATTGCGCGGCCACTCAGACTTGTAAGGACTCTCGCACACACACATCGAATCTCCGGCCCGCAGACACACACAACTATATATATGGTGTGTGTGTTTGTGTGTAGGTGTGCATGTGTGTACGTATCCATGTATGTATGCATGCATGCATGCATGCATGTATGTATGTATGTGTGTATTATATGCATGGATTGGTTACGTACTTATGTATGTGTGCATGCATGTATGTATGTATGCAGGTATGCATGCATGCATGCATGCATGTGTGTATGTATGTATGTGTATATATGTATGGATGGCTGGATGAATTTATGGATATCTATATATGTGTATATGTATGTAGGTCTATAAGTATGTATGTGTGTATGTATGTATGTATGTATGTATGTATGCATGTATATATGCATGCATGTATGTAAGTATATATATATGTATGTATGTATGTATGTATGGATGGATGGATTGATGGATGGATGGATGGATGGATGGATGTATTGGTGGATGCATGCATGCATGCATGCATGCATGCATGTATGTACGTATGTATGTGTATATGTATGTACGTACGTACGTACGTAAGTATGTATGTATGTAGGTAGGTAGGTAGGTAGGTAGGTAGGTAGGTAGGTAGGTACATTTGTGCATATATGTATATATGTGTCTTTATATGCATATGTTTTCCGATGGCATACAACGGTCGTTGCCCAGGCCGTACCTCCACCCCAGGTAACGGCAACGATCGTACGTCGTGGGAGGGGGGCCTGGATCCCCACCCCCCCGCATGCTGGTGCTCGCGCGCACACTATAGCGATTGCAGCCCACCCCCGTCCCGACGTGCCCCACCCCGAAATTCTGTCAGCGTTCCCCGGCCCCCACCCCCCTATGGATAAGACTCCAGAACAAATTATCTCTATACGACGACGAGACAGGAAGGCGAATGGGGACTCTATAAAAACCTGCGGGTCGGGGGATGCATCGGGAGCCGCGGCCGCTCCAAAGTTCCAAAACGTTCCGTCAAGAATCGGTTTCGGATGAGAAGCCGGCCTCAGGTCAGGGAAAGGGTCGAGATGACAGGGTGTACGAGACTCTATCACATCGAGTTGTCGGAGGTCTGAATGAACATAAAATGTTGGCAAGCTGTCTTCGAATACCCCTCTCGTGAGATCGCCGACAAGACGGGCCCTCCCACGGGTGCATTTGCAAACCACTGCAAGCACATCCAGAACACTTGCGGAGTTCCGCGCGTACTTCCTGATTCGGCGCTGACCCCGTCCCCTGGCGTAGGGGTCCCAAAACCGTGTTGTGACAGACCCGGCGGTGACCTCGAGATCCGCAGAGGCCTCACCGCAGGGTCCGTCACCACGCAGTCTTGGGACCTCGGAGGCCCCAATCGCCCGAGACATCCTCGGAGAACGACCCGAGTCCCAAAACCGTGAGTTGGCGGCGCGCACAAGGGGGCAGGGGGAGGGGGGAAGGCTTCCTACAAGGAGGCTGCTTCCTAGAAGGCGCCAGCCTTACATCTACAAACAAGGGCTCGCGCAGTCTAAGAAGCAGGGTGCTTCCAAGAAGCCTTCTCCCTTCCCCCTACCCCTTTCTGCGCGTGGCTGGGTGCGGTGACCCCGAATCTCCACCGACTCATCACACCGATGCGGTCACCACACCGGCAGATGGGGCCTCCGGCGCGCTGGGCGCACCTGGGCGGTGCCAGAGGCGCCGTCAGGGGAGGGGGTCCAGCGTTCAAGTCTATGCCAGTGATCCTTCTTGAGGGCGTCGGCGAGGGAGGAATCGTCGAAACCGATGCCCAGAGGGGGTCGGGAGCACAACTCCAGCAACAAAATGTGTATTCGGGGGGCCTGAGTCTGCCCCATGGCGTCACTATTCGCCTTGCACCCGTGTCGAATCCCCGTCGAGTCCACGAAACCGAGCCGCATCCGCGTCCAGTCCACGGCCGAATCGGCGTTCCCAAAAAGTGTGGCTGGCATGTCCTGGAGCTCCTCCTGCCCCGCGAATCGGGCCTGGACGAGGCGTGCTTGGCAGGCCCAGACGGGGGGCGGAACACACCATGGGGGGCGATACCCAGAGACAGATCACGTCCAGCACCGATGATGGGCCACATTTGTTTCGGGGGGCACGGGGCACGGTCCCAGACGGACAACATCCGCGGCGACACCGACAGTCACAGCAACGCCGTGGAAGCACGGGGGCGCATCGGGCCGTGGGCACCTCGGGAACGGATCGGGCACGGGCGCGGCTGTGATCGATATCGAATGGGATCGATCGGATCGAAGTGGGACCTGCGATCGGTTTCCGGGCCATGGCTCAGGTCTCGGGCGGCCGTCCAGAGCAATCCCGGCAGCCCCAGAACGCTCTCGGCGAGGCGCAGCTGCTGGAACGCATCCGGAAGCAAGATAACCTCCAGGAGCAGACGAAAACGCTCGGACACGAGGCCGAATCGACGTCGACTCGGGGCGAGCTGGTTCCTGCAGTCCTGGGGCCCGCCCGGCCCCGTGCAGGGCGGGGACGCGTGCCGCGCCGCCCGTCCGACCTGCCCGCTGGGGGGGCCGCCGGCCCGGCGCGCGCCCGTGAGGGCGCGCGCCCGTGAGGGCGCGCGTAGCGTCCGCGCGGTCGCTGGGATGTCCCGCCCGGCAGCCCTGGGGCTTCCCCGCGCCCCGTGTCGGACGGGGGAGACGAGGGCCTCCCCAGAGGCCCCGCGTGGCGAGATCGAGAGAAGGGCAACCCTGTGCTCCTGACATGGATCCCCTGGGGATGACTGGGTTCGGGGTCCAGGGGGGATGAGAGACGTTTTCCTGAAGATCGCAGCATAATGATGGAGATGATGATGACGAGGCAATCCATAGGATCCCCCAGGACATTCATAGAATCCCTTAGGACATCCATAAGATCCCTTAGGACATCCATAGGACTCCGTCGGAAATCCATCGGATTCCTTTAGGACATACATGGGGTGCCTTAGGACATCCAAGAGGAATCGCAAGGAAATATACATAATCCTTAGGAACCCGTGCGACTCGACATTGAGAGGATAGCAACTCCGATTCGTAACTTTCCCCCGCGATAATCGAATTCGACCTTGCCGCCCCCTCCCCGACCAAGAAACTGTCAGTCGTACACGGACGGGTGGTATACTTTCATATCCAGGGCACTCGATTAGCGGTACTGCTACCCTCCCCTCTTCTGAGAATCGATGGCGAATCGGACCGAGATGGGCCCTGCAGTCCTGGGGCTCGCCGGGCCCCGTGTCCGGCGGGGACGGGTCCCGCGGCCCTGCCGCAGGCTCGTCCTGTGGGTGAGGAAAAGGGGGGCCATGACAAGGACCGAACGCGGAAGCCTCGCGTCAATCTTGGCCACCGTCGACCTCCGACAGCGGCAAATTCGTGGAACATCCTCGCGAATGGGCGACGGCCGACATGGACCCTGACCAAGATTGGCATCGACAAAATCCCGTGACATCTTCGTCATGGTCCCCGTGCTTCTTCCCTGGGCGTCCCCTGGCGCGCCGGCGGGCGCGAACAGCGCGCGCACGGCCGCGGCGCTGCTGCGGCCGCCGCCGGCGGCCACGGCTCTGTGCGCCAGCCGCGCGGCTCGGGCGAGCTCCGGGAGCAGCGTGCCCTCCCAGACGGCGGCGCGCAGGCACCTCGCCGCGTTGTCCGCGGGCGAGAAGGGGACCTGGCCCAGAGCTCTGGCGGCATGGCTTCTGCCAGCCGCGGGCTTTCCTCGAGTCTGGCCCTCGGGGGCCGCTTCTCGGGCCCCTGGGCCATCGAGGGTGGATCCGGGGCGAAAGCGGGGGAGGAGGAGGAGGAGGATGAGGAGGAGGGAGGAGGAGGAGGTGGAGGAGGACGAGGAGGAGGAGGAGGAGCAAGAGGAACAGGAGGAGGAGGAGCGAGGAGGAGGAGGAGGAGGAGGAGGAGGAGGAGGAGGAGGAGGAGAGGGAGGGAGGAGGAGGAGGAGGAGGAGAAGGAGGAGCACGAGGGAGAGGTCGGGACCTCTCCAGGGCCGCGGCTGGAACGAAAGCCACATCGGCGGACGCCAGGGCTCGGGGGCGACGCCTCGGGGGGCGCCGACCGACCACCTCCCCGAGCCTGCCGGGGCCAGCCTGGGCCCTGGATCGGCACGGTGGTCGGCTGGAGTTTCCCAGAGAGCGAGGAAGCGTGCGCACTAGAACTCACACGGGGTTCGAGAGGACGCGTTTCGCGAGGGCTCGTACTGCGAGGGCTGCCACGCAGACTGGGGAGCCGAGTTGCTCATATGCCTGGCCTGGCGAGCAAGTCCACTCGGGGCCCCCTCATCTCACAGGTCTTCCAGATGGAGCCGCAACACATGGTGTCGGAGGGACTAACACAACATCGGCGGCTGCATTGCATGATCGGGGTGGCGAGAATCGGTTGTCCTCGCCGACCCCATCTGCTCTGGCCTTCTTAAGGCGGCCCAGACACCTGGATCATCAGCGGCTTGCGGCACATGCGGCCGCCCTTGCCCCGCGCCCGGGGCTCCAACTTGGCCGTCGTTACCGAGAGCTCCCGGTCGCAGTACTTGGGCAGCATCTCCTGCGCCCAGTCAAAGAAGCCCGACAGGTGCATCGCAAGCTCAGGCCACGTGCCAGCCGCGTGACCTCCGAACTGGTCGGGGCACCCCTGGGCGGGGCACCGCGAAAGGTGGTGGAGGTATCAGTGAAGCTCATGAGAACAGGGGGTGGAGGACGAGGCGGGACAGCGGAGGGGAATACGAAGGGGAATTTGGAATGGATGCAGATAGGAATGTCCTCCGATCTGGGCAACCAATGAAATGGAGAAAGAGGGCGCTCTCTGTATTGTCCGTGCGGCGTCTACCTCACCCCCTTGGCAAGCGGCTCATCACGTACGACCATGTAAAACAACCCTGGTCTTCAACCCATCGGCCCATGGCGATGTGTATGAGCATAGGCAAGCCGCAACCGAGAAATCCCAACGAACACAGCTCGACTGACATGTCTACATGTACGTTTATACTAGTTCCACGTACGCTGCCCGCGCGCCCGCATCTTTCTAGCAAAACCCATCCACTGGCAGCTGCAAGCATGTAAGTGCCCACGAATGTGTGCACCAGGTCAGTTCAGAGCATAAAGCACTACAGTTTGAGCACACAAAACAACACAAACTCAGACGGCGCAGGGAGGGGCATCCTGGAAATTATCCCGGCAAAGCAACCTAACAGCGATGTGTAGAAGCATATCTGAAAGCATTCCCCTTAATATTCAGATGAAAATCCAGTTGTAGAATTCTGCTGTTCTCGCAGTCGTAGTCGCATTCGCGATGACAGTCGCAGCGGCAACGGCAGTCGCAGTCACAGCCTCAGCCTCAGCCTCAGCCTCAGCCTGCCTCAGCCTCAGCCTGCCTCAGCCTCAGCCTCAGCCTGCTTCAGCCTCAGCCTCAGTCTGCCTTCAGCCTCGGCCTCAGCCTCAGCCTGCCTCAGCCTCAGCCTGCATCAGCCTCAGCCTCAGCCTCAGCCTGCCTCAGCATCAGCCTGCCTCAGCCTCAGCCTGCCTCAGCCTCAGCCTCAGCCTCAGCCTGCTTCAGCCTCAGCCTCAGTCTGCCTTCAGCCTCGGCCTCAGCCTCAGCCTCAGCCTCAGCCTTCAGCCTCAGCCTCAGCCTCAGCCTGCCTCAGCATCAGCCTGCCTCAGCCTCAGCCTCAGCCTCAGCCTCAGCCTCAGCATCAGCCTGCCTCAGCATTCAAAATGCGGCCCGGGAATGGAGTTCTGGGAACTCGAAGAGCACGAAGTGGCCTACAGTTGGCTCCGGGCATTCAAAATCATGCCCAGGAATGGAGTTCTGGGAACTCGAAGAGCACGAAGTGGCCTACAGTTGGCTCCGGGCATCAAAATGTGGCCCGGGAATGGAGTTCTGGGAATCGAAGAGCACGAAGTGGCCTACAGTTGGCTCCGGGCATCCAAAATGTGGCCCGGGAATGGAGTTCTGGGAATCGAAGAGCACGAAGTGGCCTACAGTTGGCTCCGGGCATTCAAAATGTGGCCCGGGAATGGAGTTCTGGGAAGTCGAAGAGCACGAAGTGGCCTACAGTTGGCTCCGGGCATTCAGAATGTGGCCCGGGAATGGAGTTCTGGGAGGTCGAAGAGCACGAAGTGTGTGACTGTTTGCTTAAAACGACTTCTGCGGCACCCTGTCCGGCACCCGCCCAGACCCCCCTGTGGAGTCATCTGCTGCTCTCTTTTGACACCACTAGAAACCTATCAGAACAAGCTGTTAGGTAAATTGGGCTGGGAGTCGCAAGTGCGACCAGACGGATCTGTTTCACGTAATGGGGGACAAACGGGGAAGATCGAATGGGACGGAGGGGTGACGGGTGTGTGACGATACACGTTGGAGGAGGACAGGGACAAGGGCAACGCATGGGGAGGGCGGAGGGAGGAACAACGGAGTAGGGAACGAAACAAAGTAGGCCGTTTTCGAGCCATCCGGGGCCTCCTGGGATGGGGCTGTTCGGAGAGCTCATCGGGACCCAATCGGGTTCCTCCAGGGCCCTCCTTAGACGCCCGTCGTCTAACCGAGACTGTTTGGAACCATCTTCGACCGAAAAAGGGAGTTGGGAATGCCAGGAATGCCCCGGACCAAAGCAAATTCGTCGAGTGGTGTGCAGATCTGAATCAGCTGGGGGTCCTCTTTGGGAGACTCTCTTGTGTCGTTTTGGGGTCATGGGGAGCCTGTGGAGCCATCCCTAGTGAGCTTGGAGAGCTCTTTTTTAACGTCGGTGCACGGGCCAACGCTGGCTAGCAGCCGTTCGCGTGTTAGTGAGGGCGAGGCTATGTCTATTTGCGTGTGTCTGTTTGCACCATCTAGTTCAGACCGCATAGCTTACAACACATAGTTTGCAGCATATACGTCCCCAGGCCTGACGTTGTCCTTCTGCATGCGAAAGCACTGGTCCATTTGAACCAGATTTTTCGTGTGATGGTCACGTGGATCCAAATTGCCCGTCGCATGGGTCATTTGTTCAACGAGGATGGTAGATGCAACTGTTTCCCTAAAGCAATTACTAAATATTCCGCCTCACGAAATGGACTTGCAAACCAATGCTAGAATTGCATAACTATTCGGGCAATCCGGTGGTTGAGGCGCAGCAGCAAGCATGCGGCGGGATCCCTACAGCATGCATTTGTCATTGCGTTGTTGTTCGGGCGCCAAGTGTGGCGTCAGGATATCTAAGCAAGCAGGACTCTTGGAACTCCAGATGCAAGCTCTACGGAGTGCTCAGACGGATACTTCAAACATTATGATGTTTGTGGCGGCGCGACTCTCGCCACGGCGTGCTCCGATATGTGGTCATTGCCTGGGGCCGATGGCAAGGGATACTCCATGTCATCCTGCTCCTGCTCCTGCTCGTGCTCCTGTTCCTACTCCTGCTCCTGCTCCTGCTCCTCCTCCTCCTCTTCCTCCTGCTCCTGTTCCTGAGCCTCCTTCTCTCTACACTCACGGACTATGACTACTACGATACCCTCCCCTTGCAGATTGCCAGGAGGTCTGCGGAACGCATGCGGCCCCAGAGGTCGTCGGAACCACAGCGTCGGCTGACGGTTGACTCGAGTTCGCGAGCCGCCAACATGTCCGCAGAGGGCTCCGAGTCAGGGGCGTACGTGAGCGGGGTCGACCGCGCCACACGCTCGGGGCGCTACCCGTCCCCCTGAGCGGCCTCGCTCCCCTCCCTCCCCCTCTTTCGGGCGTTCCCCCTGCCTTGTCCCCTGCTGCTGCATGGTGGCGCAAGTCGCTACAACGGTACCCCCGTCTACGTAGCCCTCTGCCAGCGCAGTTACTCTGCCTAGCCGCCGACGTGAAACATTCTCTCAGTGCGGGCGAAACCCTGGCTCCGCAACAATTGCCGAACCCCAGAAGGACGACGGCGCGATGTCTTCACAGTGGGGCACCCCCAAAAATCTGGACCCCTTCCCAAGGATCGATTTCCCATCCCGTCTCGTGTAGAGGAAAAAGAACTATGCACATACACCGACTCTGGCCAGCCCCATCCTGAGCCCAGGATCGGTGCATACGCCCTCCTACCTTGGCCAGAAAGGCATATGCACCGATCCTGGGTCAAGGATGGGTCTTGCCGGGATTGGTGCATGTGCACAGTTCTCCTCGCCCGATCGTTCTTCAGCCGCCACGTGGGCCGGCGAGGAGCCCCTGCGGCTGAGGGCCATCACGACCCCTGCGCCGCAACTTTTTGCCCGCGGCGCGAGGCATCAGTGGCGCGACGAGGGGAGACATGGGAATGCACAGCCCCCTCTCACAGGGCGGCGGGGCCTCCCAGAAGCCCTGCGGCTTCCTGGAAGGCGCCCCTCTGCCGGGGACGCCACTGACGGGCGCGTTGGCCAGTGACCCAGCGAGCCCAACCCTTCCCGAAGTGGGCCACGCCGCAGTGCCAGACAGATGCCCTGAAATGGCAGTTTTCGGCCAATGTCCAGAAAATACCCGTTCGCGAGCACCAGAGAGCCTGCTCATAAGGCGGGCTCCCTCGCCCCCCCTGCTCTGCGGGCCGCCGAGAAAAAATGGTCAGGAAGGTACAAGATCATGTCGTGACGACTTCGGCGTTGGCTTTGGGCGCCGCGTGGATCGTTCAGCCTTGGACACTTCTTCGACTCTTCGATCGCCGGATCGCTCAACATTGGCCGGCTCTGGGCCGCCGGCGGCGTTCAACCTTGACCGCCCGCGCCAATATCGCTGCCGCGGCAACGCGACACGAACCTACATAATAACGGAAGGTACGGCGGCCCCGCCTCGACATTGTGGCTGGGGTCTTCCACTGGGCCCGAAATTTTGAGCCCGAGACCAGGGAATGCGATAGAGGGGGCCCCATCCTCGATGGTGGTGCAGCCGAATAGCCCCTCGGGACGTCTTCCCGAGCTTCCCCTCTCCTCTGGGATGCCAATTCTTTGGGAGGGCACGAGCCGCATCAACACGACACGAAGCTGCTGTACCACGGGTTCGCGTCGTGTCGATCCTGGCTTTGGTTCCTGACACCGCAGGGGTCATTCAACTTCGAACGATCGGCCATTTCCGACACGTCAGATCGTTCAATATCGACCAATTCAGGGTCGCCAGCAGCATTCAACGCTTAAGGCTGTCTGCGAGGTCGCCGCCACTCGTCACGACGAGAACCTACCGTAGTTTTTGATTGCAAGGGACGCGAACCGCATCAATGCGGAGACAGCAAGCGACCACAACCACATCGGGGACACATCCTGTGGGATGGCTTGCTCAGAATAAAAATTGCTGGAGCACCGAAACCAGCTTCGTACTGGTTCTGGTCGATGCGGCGTCACAGGACGGCCAAATCGACCACAACCACAGCCAAAGTGCTCTCGTCGGGGTCGGCGGGTTCTCCCACGAGGGGCCCGCCCGAAAAATCCACTTGGCTGTGGGTGTGTCTCGTTGCGCCTGGGGGGAAGGCGCACCCAAAATGGAGAACGGGTCGACCCCCAGAGGTCCTGACCCGTTCCCCCGGACCGGCCCTTCACCCTGAGCCGTGGGCTGACGGTCGCGAGGCCCAAGAAGGACCCCCAGAGGCTGAGAAAGACGCAAAAACGGCCGTCGTGATGGGGGCCTCGGGAAAGAGAAGGCGCACAAACGTGCAGCATGCCTGAAGCCTCGCAACAAGCTGGAATCAATACGACACGAACATGCCGTGAGCTTGCAGCGGTCGGCCTCGCAAGAGCGGGGGGGGGGGGGGGGACCGAGGCCTCGCACGCGGCCGCGTCCGCGCGGTCGGCGATCGCGTCGTGCGGCGGCAGGCGCGGCGCCGCCGCGGGCCGCCTGGTGCAAGCAGACGGCCCGACGGTGTCATCTAAGTTGACGTCTTTCTTGCCAGTATGTCTCTTTGTCTCTCTCCCTCTCTAAGTCTCTCTGTCCCTCTCTCTCGGTCTCTCGGTACATGTAAGCATATGTGTGGGCCTGATTCAGCCACAAACGAAATATCTGGCAATATGTGTTGTGCACCCTCTGTGGGGCAATCTATGGGTTGCAATGTGCATGGTGCTCTATATATAAATAGATTGGTAGGTGTGTGTGTTTTGATATATATATATATATATATATATATATATATGCATACACGTCTCTCGCTATATATATATGTATACATATGTATATATATATATATATATATATGTATATACATGTCTATATGTATGTATGCATGTATACCGAAGTACCTCAGTGTACACACATGTGAATAATTCCGCATATATGTACACATATATGCATGTATATATATGACTATGTCCGTATGAATACATATGATTTGTGTCACGTCGGTGGTGACATATGAATTGCGCATTAGTTTTGGTTTGTGACGGGGTGTATAGTATGGAACGCACGTGTATGTGTATACGAGTATGTTGTGCACTATAAGTTGTGCGCAATCAGTGTGGTGCAGTCGACATGGTGGAATCAATGTAATGCTCGCTGTGCGTGTTGCAGTCGGAGTGGCGCAATCTATGCAGTGCACAATCTATGAGGTGAATCCGACGTGGTACAATCAGCGTGTTGCAATTTCTGTGGTGTAATCTATGAGTGCAACCCACTCTGCTGAACTTGAAGTCGTCAACTCCACTGTTCGCGCAAAAATCCCACCCACCCACCCGCAACTTGTGTTGCAAAACCTGTTAAGACCGACTACGACGACACCGACGACAACGACTAGGACGACACCGACGACGTCTCCGACGACTTCGACGACGACAACGACGCCGACGCCGACGACGACGACGACGCCAACAAACGCGACGACGATGGAGGAGGAAGGACGACGACGGCGACAACAACGACAACGACGAGGGAGGAGGGAGGACGGCGACGACGCGAACGACGAAGAAGGAGGAAGGACGGCGACGCCGACGACGACAACGACGAGGGAGGAGGGAAGACGACGACGACAACGACGACGACGACGGCGACGAAATAGGCGGGACGACGACGAGACGCCGACAACGGACGACGACGACGACGTGGGAGGAGGAGGAAGGACGACCACGGCGACAACGACGACGGAAACGACCACGACGCCAAAGAGGACGACGACGACGAACACGAGAAAAGACAGAGGACGACGTAGGCGACGACGACGACGACGACGCGGGAGGAGGGAGGACGGCGACGACGACGACGACGACGCAAGAGCGCGCGCGCACGCTTTTGTTGAAAATCCGTGTTGCGAAACCTTGGGTTTTTGTAGGTCTTTTGGACGCACGATTTTGAAATCCTTCCGAAACCGATGGGTTTTGAAGGTTTTCGGCAGACGCCCGCGACGACGCGCGCGTCTGCACTTCGTCCCATTTTTTGCAAGAGGATTCTCGCGACGGCACACGCGCAAGGGCGTTCGACAGATTTCGACATGCGCGCGCGAGGCCCGTTTGGTAGCAGTTTGTGAAAATCTTGAAAAACCTATGGTTTCTTAAGATTTCGCAAGAGCTCGCGCGGAAACTTTTTTAGCAAATCAATGTTGCGAAACCCTGTGTTTTTGTTGTATGTGTTTTGGGAACTCGATTGCGAAATCCCTCCGGCACCGAAGGTTTTTGAAGGATTCCGGCATGCGCGCGCGACGACGCGCGCGTGTGAACTTCGTCCCATTTTGTGTTATGTTAGAACAACAAATGTCACCGCATAGCGTTTTAAGAAGGGAACCTTCAGGGGGGGGAACCCGGCCTGGCTGGGATGAGATGGTTTCATATTTAGGATGGACGAGTGTGCAGAATATAGATATATATATATATACATATATATATATATATGAAATTACACTACCCCAGGGGGAAGCGATAAGTCCGGGGGGGTAGAGTCTATTCTCCTATTAGAAAGGAGAATTAATTTCTGTTCGCAATGAGTTGTCCACTCCACTGCTCGCGCAAACATCCCACCCACTCACCCGAAACTTGGTTTGCAAAATCTCTTAAGACCGTGACGGTGGGTACCAAATGGCCCTTGGCAACGTCAGCGACGCCGACGACGACAGCGACAACGACGACGACGACGCCGCCGACAACGACTACGACGACACCGACGACGACTCCAACGACTTCGACGACGCCGACAACGACGACGACGACGACGACGACGACGACACGACGACGACGACGACGACGCCGAGCCGACGACGACGACGATGACAACGACGACGACGATGACGACGCCGACGACGACGACAACGACGACACCGACGACGACGACGACGTCAACGACGCCGACGACGAAGATGACGACGACGACGACGACGACGACGCCGACGCCGACGCCGACGACGACGACGATGACAACGACGACGAGGGAGGAAGGAGGACGACGACGGCGACAACGACGACAACGACGATAACGACGAGGGAGGAGGGAGGACGGCGACGACGCGAACGACGAACAAGGAGGAAGGACGGCGACGCCGACGACGACAACGACGAGGGAGGAGGGAAGAAGACGACGACGACAACGACGACGACGACGACTACGGCGACGAAATAGGAGGGACGACGACGAGACGCCGACGACGGACGACGACGACGACGACGGATGAGGAGGAAGGACGACCACGGCGACAACGACGACGGAAACGACCACGACGCCAAAGAGGACGAACGACGACGAACACGAGGAAAGACAAAGGACGACGTAGGCGACGACGACGACGTGGGAGGAGGGAGGACGGCGACGACGACGATTTCGTTGAAAACCCGTGTTGCAAAACCTTCTGTTTTTGTAAGTTTTTTGGACACACGATTTTGAAATCCTTCCGAAACCGGTGGGGTTTGAAGGTTTTCGGCATACGCGCGCGCGACGACGCCCGCATCTGCACTTCGTCCCATTTTTTGCAGAGGATTCTCGCGACGGCACACGCGCAAGGGCGTTCGACAGATTTCGACATGCGCGCGCGAGGCCCGTTTGGTAGCAGTTTGTGAAAATCTTGAAAAAAACATATGGTTGTCTTAAGATTTCGCAAGAGCTCGCGCGGAAGCTTCTGTAGCAAATCAATGTTGCGAAACCCTGTGTTTGTTGTATGTGTTTTGGAAACTCGATTGCGAAACTCCCGGCACCGAAGGTTTTTGAAGGATTTCGCCATGTGCGCGCGACGACGCGCGCGTGCGCACTTCGTCCCATTTGTTGCAAGGGATTCGTGAAACATGTGACATTGCGATTTCATATTTAGGATGGACATGTGGTCATAATCGTATGTGATTTACACATCCGAAGAGGGGGGCGATAACGCCGGGGGGGTGATCCTATTCGGTTTCTTTTTTGGGGGGAAGGAGAATATACGTGGTGCTATCTATCTGGTGCAGCCGATGCGGTGCAATTGATGTGGTGCTATCTACGTGGCGAAATGTGATTCTCCTGCGCAGGGTGTCTAGAGCTCCGACCAGTTTATTCCGCGTCGCACCCCCCCACCCACGCGTCCCCCGCGCCAGAGTGGGACCCCCGCGCCGTGGCTCTCTGCCCCGAGCCCCACCCCGCGCCCCAACTCCCCAGCGGGAGCTCCGCCCGTTGCCCCCTCCGCCGCGAACGGTTTATTCCGCGTCGCACCCCCCCCCTCCCCCCGCGTCCCCAGCGCCAGAGTGGGACCCCCGCGCCGTGGCTCTCTGCCCCGAGCCCCGCCCCGCGTCCCCAGCTCCCCAGCGGGAGCCCCGCCCGCTGCCCCCTCCGCCACGAACGCTTTATTCCGCGACGCACACCCCCCCTCCCCCCGCGTCCCCGGCGCCAGAGTGGGATTCTCGCGCCGTGGCTCTCTGCCCCGAGCCCCCCCGCGTCCCCAGCGCCCCAGCGGGAGCCCCGCCCACTGCCCCCTCCGCCACGAACGCTTTATTCCGCGACGCCCCCCCCCCCCCGCGTCCCCAGCGCCACAGTGGGACCCTCGCGCCGTGGCTCTCTGCCCCGAGCCCCCCCGCGCCCCAGCGCCCCAGCGGGAGCCCCGCCCACTGCCACCTCCGCCGCGAACGCTTTATTCCGCGTCGCGACGCACACCACCTCCCCCACCTCCCTCCCCGCGTCCCCAGCGCCAGAGTGGGGGCTCCGCCCCGTGCCCCCTCCGCCCCGACATGTTTTTTCCGCGTCGCGACGCACACCACCTCCCCCCTCCCCCCCCCTCCCCAGCGCCCCAGTTGGACCCCCGCCCCGTGGCCCTCTGCCCCAAGCCCCGCCCAGTGCCCCCTCCGGCCCCGACCATTTCATTCCGCGTCGCGACGCACACCACCCGCCCCATCCCGCCCCCAGCGCCCCAGTGGGACCTCTGTCACGTGCCCCCTCCGCTCCGAGCGCTTTATTCCGCGTCGCGACGCACACTACCTCCCCCCCCTTCCCCACCTGGGATTTGGGCCCCGTTGCTGGGCCCCGAAGGGCGATGTGTTGCCCCCTTTTCCCCCCTCCTCCTCCACTTCCTCCTCCTCCCTCCCCTTCCTTTTTGTACAAGAGCCATGGCACACGTGCCACTTGTTGTACAAACGACCTGACAAAGTCCATGCTCTTGCAAACCGCCCACCCACCCATCCGCAACTTGGTTTGCAAAACCCATGCGGCGGCGGCGATTGCGATGAATGGTTGGCGTTGGCTGGTGCATCTGTGCGGCCACGCTAGTCCGCGTACGCACGCGCGCAGAGGGGTCAACTAGTTTGGCGTGACAGACGCGGCTGCGGTGGCGCATACCGCTGGGCACTTTCCAACGGGCACATCAGTGTGAGTCGATGACTCGGGCGGGCTCGGTATCATGGCGACGCCGACAACGGAAGACACGAACATGAGAGTAGCTACGATGGTGACGATGATGGCGATGACGACGGCAATGCCAATGACGGCGCCGATGTTGATCACGCCCGCCGATCACGATGACGGTTTCCCCGCGTCGGCGATGAAGGATTTTAGAAGGAGTTCGACATGCGCGCGCGGCCGACGCGCGCGAGTGGCCCGCGTGGTGTCCCCCCCCCAGCACGCGGCCAAAGGGCGTCCGAATGAGTTTGACATGCGGCGCGAAAGGCCCGTTTGGCAGATTTGGATGACGATGTTGGAGACCCGTGGTTCTCTTAAGACCTCGCAAGACCGCGAGTGCAGTTGTTTCCCAAACCGATGTTGCGAAACCATGTGTTTGGACATGTTGTCGAAACACTCGTTCTGTTTCAAATCCTTACGAGACCTGGGACTTTGGACAAATTTCGGCACGCGCACGCGTTAACTCGCACATGCGCACGTCGTCTCATCTGTTGCAGTGGATTTTTGCGACAACACGCGCGCAAGGGCGATGTGACGGATTAGTGAAAACTGCTGATTTTGATAAACGAATGCGCGCGCATATTATGCGTCTCCATGAAATAATGGGGGGGGGCGATGCCGGCCTGCCTGGGATGGTACGGGTGCAGATGAAGTGTGGAGGATGGGACATACTCATATGCAAACCACAGTGCGAAAAAGGGGTACTGTTAACCCCGGGGTTGGGTAGATCCTACTTCAAAACATGACAATCTAGGCGGCGTCGGGGCGGTCACGGCGAGCACGGAGCCGCCACACCAACACCCAGGCCCAGACGACGTGCGGCGAGGGGGCGGTGACGGGGCGGCAACGGCGAGGGCGCAGCCGCGAGACCGACATTCAGGGCCAGTTGCCTTAGAGAGATATCAGGGAAGTACTGTTGGGGGATAAATAACAGATGACACACATTGCGGCAAACAGTCGCGAGGAACGGTGGAGAAGGTGGTTTCCTGCCTCTGGGGGCTACGTTTGAGAAGGTACTCAAATAGTTTCATGACGACGACGGCGACGATGACGACGAGCACACATAAACGGAGACGATTCGGGTGCGCCCTCGGGGCGGGAGATTTGGGCATCTGCGCGCGATAACCACTGATCGTCGCCCAACAAGGGACCTAAACTCACGCTTCGCGACGCGCGAAGAATGGCAACCGACGAGAAGACGATCATGGACCGTCCCCGTCGTCGTGGAATGCACGCTGGGGCTCGACGAGAAAGGACGCAACATACAACATACAAGGACCGAGAGGGACGGGGGAGATGCAGGCGGAAGGGGGAGGAGATGGAGGAGATGGAGGAGGAGGAGGAGGAGGAGGAGGGGGAGGAGGAGGAGGAAGAGGAGGAGGAGCAGCAGCAGCAGCAGCATGATGATGATGATGAGGAGGAGGAGGAGGAGGAGGAGGAGGAGGAGGAGCGGGGCACAAGGCGATAAACTCAATCATGCGAGTCAAGCGAAGACCTCTGGAGATGATTATACGAAGATCAATCGAACACACTTGAGAAGTCATCCCTCCTGACCCGTCCCTGCCCTTCTCCTCCCGTCCCGTCAGGCCTCCTAGGGTACGATTTTCTCAGGTCGCCGGCCCTTGGACCTGTCGACCCCTCCCCGAGGACTTGCTTTACATGCTGGGCCTCTTGTTCAGATGTCTTGGCGCCCACATAACGGGGGACACGGCGACCCCAATCCTGGACTTTAGGGGACTCTCGACTGGACCAACAATTGTGGTGCCCCGCCCTGAACTATACATTGGGGGGCGTCCATCCTCGATAGGCGTGCGTTCGAATGGCAGCTGCGGGTGCGTCCCAGAGTTCCCCGCCCCTCTCTTGAGCGACCAAACTTTTCGGACGGACCTTGGGGATTGAGGGAGAAAAATCGACTGCGACATGAAACGGCCTCCGGACACAAAAAATGCTCGAAGCGCCTCAGGAGGAGGAAGAGACGGAGGAGGAGGAGGAGGAGGAGGAGACGGAGGGGGAGTTGCAGGAGGAGGAGGAGGAGGAGGAGGAAGGAGGAGGAGACGGAGGGGGAGGAGGAGGAGGAGGAGGAGGAGGAGGAGGAGACGGAGGAGGAGGAGGAGACGGAGGGGGAGGATGAGGAGGAGGAGGAGGAGGAGGAGGAGGAGGAGGAGGAGGAAGGAGGAGGACGCTCCCCTTCCGAGTCGGCCGGACGCCTGTGGGCCCCCTGGCGGGGGCTCCCTCAAAAGCTTCCGCGGAGGTCCCTCTCCGAGGAACCTCACGAGGCATTCAGAGAGCAGCAGGAACGCAAAGGGATGGATCCTCAAGCATCGGTCCTCGGACCCCCTCTCCTCTTGGATTGTAAGGAGTACGACGAAGGATGAGCTGCCTGTTGAACCAATTGAACGCCGCCATGATCTCCCGCAGAGCAAGAGACTCAGCAAAACGCAGAATAAGACCGTACTGGGCCCTCGAAATGGGATCCTTGACCGCGAGGAGCATGGCCAAGGATTTCTCAGCACCCGAATTCCGAGGCCGCTCGGAGCACTTAGCTTGCAGGAAGCGGGAACTGACAACAACCCCGAACTCCTCCTCCTCCTCCTCCCCCTCCTTTTCCTGCTGCTCCTCCTCCCTCCTCCCGCTCCTTCTCCTGCTGCTCCTCCCCCCTACTCCCCATCCTTCCCTTGCTGCTTCTCCTCCTCCTCCTCCTCCTCCTCCTTCTCCACGTGCTATTGCTCCTCCTCCTCCTCCTCCTCCTCCTCCTCATCCGTCTCCTGCTCCTCATGCTCCTCGTCCTCCTCCTCCTCCTCCGCCTCCACCTCCTCCTCCTCCGTCTCTTCCTCTACTCCTCCTTCTCCTCCTCCTCCTCCTCCTCCTCCTCCTCCTCTTGGTGCTCCTACTCATATGTTTCCTTCCTCCTCCTCCTGCTCCTGCTCCTCCTCCTCCTCCTCTCCTCCTCATCCTCATCCTCATCCTCATCCTCCACCTCCTCCCCCCCTCCCCGTCCTCCTCTCCCTCCCTCCTCCTTCTCCTCCTCTCCTCTTCCCTCTCCTCCTCATCCCCCTGTTCTTCCTCCCCCCCTCGTCTCGTCCTCGTCCTTCGTCTCCTCCCCCTCCTCCTCCTCCTCCTGCTCCTGCTCCTCTCCTTCCTCCTCCTCCCCTCTCCTCCTTCCCTCCCCTCTCCTCCTCCTCCTCCTTCTCGTCCTTCCTCCTCCTTCTCTCCTCCTCCTCCTCCTCATCCTCCTCCTCCTCCTCCGCCTCCACCTCATCCTCCTCCTTCTCCTCCTCATCATCTTCCTCTTCCCTCCTCCTCCTCCTCCTCCTGCAACTCCCCCTCCACCTCCTCTTCCTCATCCTCCGTCTCCAGCTGCTGCTCCCGCTCCTCCTCTTCCTCCTCCTCGTCCTCCTCTTCCTCCTCCTTCTCGTCCTCCTCCTCCTCCTCCTCCCTTTCCTCCTCCTCCTCCTTCCTTGCCTCCTCCTCCTCCTCCTCCTACTGCTCCTGCTGCTCCTCCTCCTCTTCGAACCTTGATCATTGGACCCCCTCTCCTCTGAAAGTTGGCCCGTGAACCTCCCCTAGAGTGCATGCTGACCAGCGGAGTGGCTGGCTCGGATGAGTGTCTGGGGTGCGGGGGCGTCCGAGGTCCTGAACGAATGAAGCGACGTTGTAAAACTTGGTCATCGAATCTGGATCCTTCCCAATAGGACGAAGCAAAGACGAATATAGACTCGGGTGAAGATAAATCGAGAACCTCCGGCGGCTCTGGAGGATGTCTCGGGCGCCGCGGCCTTCCCAGAGAGTTCCAGAACGCTTTGGAACGGATTGATCCTCGTCCCAGCCCCGTACGATCGATTCTTCCCCAGGAAAAGGATGGGGGGAACAAACAAATAACTACAAGCTCCAGACATTCCCTGGGGCGCGTTCTGGCTTGGATTTCATGGTCTTTCCAGCCGTGGCTACGCGGGACAAGTTATCATCGGAATCGGTATCTGTTCCCCCTCTGAGAGGAGTTGGCGCCGCATACAACGGGGTGGCGCGAGGAGGGGGGAGCAGGCGAATGGCTCCTTGGAAGGCAGGGGCCTTCTTACGTAGAAGGGCCAGGAGGCTTCGACCAAAGCCTCACAGAAGCCTCAGGGCCCGTCTGGAAAGCCCCCTGCCATCCAAGCGGCCTCCCCGGCCTCTCGGAAGGCTGACTTCCTCGCGCCATCCCCCTCTGCGTGCGCCGGCAAGAACGGGTGGGGGTGGAGGCGCAGCAGCAGCAGCAGAGGGCCTGCCGCTCTGGCCCAGCGGCGGGCGCTGCAGGAAGAACACGCCCAGCAGCACGAACCCGAAGCTGCTGAGGCCCCCGCGGAGGGTGTCCGTCAGCCGCCTGAGGAAGGCTCGCGGCGCGTACTCTTTACCAGCGCACAACTTTGGACGCCCGAAATGGGTACGGAAAAAAAAGGGTGCAATGCCCAACAACAAGTGTTGTCCCAAACCGACAGCGGCCGCTCTTGGGCAGGCGGCCGTCTGTCTCAAATGGACACAGGCCGCTGCTGCGCGGACAGCGAGTCCTGTTCAAAATGAACAAGAACTGCTGTTGGGCATTGTCCCACTCTTTCTGTACCCATTTCGTGCGCGCAGAACAACGACACCCCGTGCGCGGGCACCATTTATACGCGTACCAACTTAAGACGAAGCCAGGTCAAGAATGCACTCGGGCAAAAAAAAAGTCGAGAACCTATGTGAGTTCCGGTGGATGTCTCGGGAGCCGCGGCCTTCTCAAAGCGTTCCGGAACGCCTTGAGAGCGTTCCGGAACGCTTTTGAACGGGTTCATTCTCGTCCTAACCCGGTCGGGGAACCCCGTGTGCGGGCATAATGTATGCGCATACCCATTGCGTTTAGGATTTTTTCGGATGGGGCGCCCAAAAGCCGACGCGCAGTGAGTATGGACGGAAATCGAACCTCTAGGGCCAGACTCTGTTCAAAACGCACTGCGCGTCTGGAGCTTGCAGAAAGGAGCCCAAAGCTCCCAAACCCAATGGATATGTACACACATCTTGCTCGCACCGTGGCAGAAACCACGCAAAGGAGGGGGTGGGGGGACGGGAGGGCGAAGTGCATCTGAAAAGGCGCTTCGCTGAAGCAGTTCTGAAAAAGAAAAAAACAAAATACAAAAAAACAAAAAAAAAAAAAAAAAAAAAACAAAAAAAAAAAAAAAAAACGTGACGTTCATTCGGGCCCGCGGCTTTCAGGGGGCCTGCGCGGGCGGACTGTTTACGGCACGTCGAGGTAGAACGCAGACGAAATGCGCTGCACGGCGTATGGGGTCCTACAAATACGGTGGGACGCGCAATGGCAATGAAAAGTGGGCAGGTCCTGACAACGCATGGCGGAAAACAACACTCAAATAGGCTACACGCAAGACTGACCCTGGGTAAAAATGACTTTTGGTGCGCGGTTTTTGTTGGGGCCACGGGGACACCAAACCTGGGCCTGGGCGCGCGAGCCGCTGCTACCGTTCCAACTTCAGCCATCTGAGAACCCATCTGCGCCCGCACCAAAGGTCACTCCGACGAAAGGTCACTCTTACGCTTAGTCGATCAAACTATATGTCAATGGTGCGCGACACCGGCCCTGGAGGACTCGTGTGTGATGTTGGCCCAATGCTCTTTCATTGGAAACACAATACTCCGACGAAAAGACCCCGCACGAGAATTTGTTAAACTTGCAATTCGGACATTCCTCCTCGCCCTGGCGGACACCGTCCTCCGGCCCACTGCTCAGCCCTCTCCTCCTCTTCCCCCTTTTATGTATCCCCCTCTTCCTCTCTCCTCCTATTCCCCCCCGTTCCCACTCCTCCTGGTCATCAGCGCCCTCCCCCTGCCTTTCCCCCACTCCTCATTCTTCTCCTGCCTCCTCCATGTGCAGCTCCCCTTCCACCTGGTCGGAACAAAAAAAGTAATTTTCCTCGGCGCCGTCGCCGCCTCGGCCCGCACGCGCGCGCGCGTTCGCCGACAGCTAGATCAAGAAGCCTTTTAGGCAATCCCGCGGGCCATGCCTTTGGGGCAACCCCCCGGGCCGCTGTGGCGCGGGGCAGGCCATCGGGAAAACCCTGCAAGCCAGGGCGTAGGGACTACTCCGCGGCCCTCGAGGCGGGCGCGGCCGCGCTCGGGGGGGGGGGGGGGGCAGCGCGATTCCCAGCCGCGTTGCGAGCTGTTCTACCTCGTCTCTGGGGCTTTCCGCCATCCCGCTGAACTTCCGGAGCGCCTCCCGCGGGGGCGACCGCGACCCGCGCTCCAAGAACTCTCGCGTGGGCGGCCGCAGGATCATCATGTGCCGCACGCGCGTGGCGCAGGAAAACATGACGTAGAAATGCCGCCAAGAGTGTTCGTCCGATGTGGCCGTGTTACCGCCCGTCACCATCCCTGGCGCATTCGATGGTGACGCCCTTGCGCAACGTCTGGCCCTACGACAGCGTGGAGGTCAGGCTCGACGCGCGCGGCAGGGACAACCCCGAGCGGCGCACGACGTGCGGCCCCGAACTCTGCCAGGTGATTTCCTGCTCGCTGGGCCTGAACATCGGCAAGCCCTTCGCCCGCACCTCGGCGTCGCGGTCGTCGTCAGCGCTGTCGGCGCCCTGTAGCAACACATCGGCGACTTCCTGATCGACCAAGGACTCCTTGATGCCGCGCGCCTGCAGCCAATTTCCCTGCGGTTGGTAGCGGGGGCGAAAGAGATGGCTTGGCGCGCGGTCCTCGTATTCCCGCTCGTCGTCTGGGTAAAATTCGAAGACAACGATGGTGGCTCCCGCCTGGGACGTCCGCGCACTTCGTTCACATATAAAGTTCCCGTCTGAGGTTTCTTCAACATTTACGCGCGAAGGGCCCATTAGTGACGACAGTAACAAACATGAAACGCGGGCTCCATAGGGGGGGGCTACCGCCTGAGACTTCCTCGCTAGTCGCTCACAAAGGAGGCTCCCACCGAAGGCTTCTTCAACATTCAAGCGGGAGGGGCCCAAAAGCGAACACAGTTACAGACAGTTATAACATCTGGATGACCCGTCCGGGGTACCAACATGAAATGAGGGTTCCATAGGGAGGGCGTTCCCGCCTGAGATGTCCTCACAGTTCCCTCACACACGGAGCTCCCGCCTGAGACCTTGTTTTTTTTGTTTCAAAACTCAAGCAATTACAGGATCTGGATGACCCGCCGCTCGGACTACCAACATGAAGCGCGGGCTCCATAGGGAGAGGGGTCCCGCCTGAGACTTCCCAACAGGTCAATCACAAACGAGGTTCCTGCCTGAGGTTTTTTCACAATTTAGGCGCGATTCGTCGCCCAAGAGAGACGACAGTTAGAGGTTTCATGATTGTGTATTTTTTTATAAAAAAAAGTATCCCGCCTGAAGCTTCCTCGGAATTCACTCACAAACGAGGTTCCAGCCTGAGGCGTCATGAAGACTCAAACGGGAGGGGCCCAACAACGAACATATTTACAGCATCTAGATGTCCCGTTCGGATTACCAACATGAAGCGCGGGCTCCATATGGACCGGGCTCCCGCCTGAGACTTCCTCGCAATTCACTCACGAACGGGGTTGCCACATGAGATTTCCTTCCTCAACATTCAAGCGGGAAGGGCCCAAAAGGGATGACAGTTACAAGATCTAGATGGCCCGCTCGGATTACCAACGTGAAGTGTGGGCCCCTAAGGAGATGTCCTCGCATATTACTAGCAAACAATGCCCTTTTGGTCGAATACCAAAATGGATAGTGATAGTGATGACGGTGGTGTGCGCTGCTGATGGCCGATGGTCATGATAGGATCATGACATGATGACGGTTGGGTGATGAGTACATGTGGGCGGGTGATCGAAGCAGTGGATGACAGCGAGGGCTCAAGATGCGAATGGCATGGTGGAGTGCTGATGATGGTGACTGGGATGGTGATTGGTGGTGGTGATGATGATGTTGACAGGGGTGGTGGTGGAGTGGATGTGAAGAGGGCGGGGGTGGGTGAGGACTGCGCGGGGTGTTCAAAGAAAACAAGAAGCGCGTTTAGGATATGGGGAACTTGCAACACATGTACAAATCGAGTACGCATTGTAAACTATAAGCCAGTCCGAAACAGGCCAGAATCGACAGAGATCTTCACCAGGAGGAAGGGTGCGGTAGGCCCGCGAGCACCAATGCTGATGCCATTGGGAAACAACAACTAACGACGACGACGACGACGACGACGACGAAGACGACGACGACGACGACGACAGCGGTGAATTCCCAGGAGGCCGTACGAGGCATCAGGAGGCCTCAAGAGGTCACTCGAGGACACTTGCGGGCAACTCCACGACACGATGCCTCAGAAAGCTGCACGCCTCAGGTCGCCTGAGGAGGATTCGAGGTTCCCAGGCAACCCCAAGTTCTCAAGACGGCGCGGGGGGGCACAGGAGCATTCAGAGAAGAACCCAGGAGGCTGCAGGAGGCCTTAGAAAGCCACAATCCGCCGATCCGGCGTGTGAGTTTAATGGGGAGGTGGTAACCGAGGTGGCTCTGTCAGGGTAGGTGGAGTGGAAGGGGGGGGGGAAGGTTCTGGTGGCGTGGGTTGCGGTTGCGTGGGGGGGGTCCCGTCTCCGGCCCCGCCTGTGGACAAAGGGAATTGGGGGAAAAAGGGGGGGGGGGGGCGGTGGCCAGGATGGCTCTGCCAGGGTGATGGGGGGGAGGTGTCTGGTGTCGTGGGTTCCGGCGGCGTGGGGGGGGTCCGGTCCCCCGTCCCGCCTGTGGACAAGGGGAATTGGGGGAAGAAGGGGGAGGTCCCGTGCAGTAGGTTCCGATGGGTCGGGGGATGGGAAGGGGGAGGTCCGTTGCGCGTGGGTTTGAAGGAGCCTCAGCTACAGCCTCGAGGCTGAGCTTCAGCCTCTGGGGGGATTGTCGGGGTGGCTGTGCCGGGGAAGGAAGGGAAGGGGGGTGTGCGCGTGTGCGTGGGGCAATGTTTGTCCGTGTACGCGGGAAGGGGATCGGGGAAAGAGGGAGAGAGAAGTGGAACGTGACGAGAGAAAAAACGGGGAACAAACTGGGGGGGAAACGACGGTGGCGGTGAGATGCGTGTCTGTTGTGTGGTGTGTGTGGTGTCGGCGCGCGTGTGTGCATGTGCCCGTCAAAGTGGCGCGCGTGTGTGAATGTGGTGTGTGTGTGTCTGTGGGTGTATAATGTGTGTGTGTGCGTGTGTGTGTGTGTCTGTGTGTGTGTCTGCGTGTGTGTGTGTGTGTGTGTGTGTGGTGTGTATGTGTGTGTGAATGTGTGAATGTGTGTGTGTGTGTGTTTGTGGGTGTGTGCGTATGCGCGTGTGCGCGTAATTTCTGCGAGCGTGTGCGCGCGCGTCTGTCGGCGAAGTGTCGCCCAGCCTGGGGGGCACCCCAAGCGACCCGGATCTGCGGCACTGGCCGAAAACCACCACAATAACTATCGTTTCCCGTCTGGGCCGTCGGCAAGGGAGGGGGGAACAAGGAGCTAAGAGAGATAGGTGGTGGAGCGGGGGGGGCGGGGCGAGGGAGGAGGGACCGGAGGAGGGGATGGGAGGAGCCAGGAGCGGGGGGGGGGGACAGGGACAAGGGAAAGGTAGGAAACGCACGGACGAACAGCGGACGAAGAGGAGGAAGAGCGGAAGGGGAGGCCCCCGCCTCCTCTTGGCCCACAACTTGATGGCCCTGCACAGCGCGGGCGCCACGCCAACCTTGTCCTTCGGGGCAGTCGCTAACACAGTGTTCCTAGTCGCCACCACCTCCAAATCGCAACCATCACCACCATCACCACCACCATCCTCACCATCGTCATCATCATCATCATCATCATCATCATCATCATCAGCAGCAGCAGCAGCAGTATGACCATCAGCATCACCATCATAACCATAATCATAATCATCATCATCATCATCATCATCATCATCATCATCATCATCATCATCATCATCATCATCATCATCATCATCATCATCATCCTCGTCATCATCATCATCATCATCAGCATCAGCATCAGCATCAGCATCACCATCATCCTCAACCTCAAGCTCAATCTCAACGACATCATCGGCATCCTGTTCATCTTCTTCATATTGGCTTATGCGGGAGAGGCTCCCTCAATAAGGGTCCAACCAATCGAGGGGGGTAGAAAACCATCTGGCACCAACCTTATCACCAGACGTTACGGCGTCAGGAACACGTCGCCCACTTTCATACCTGGCCCCCCCAACGGAGAGACCACCCTGCATGAGTGCATGGGGCACTCGACGGGCAGTTACACTTGGCTGACGCACCGAACCATCAGGGAAGCGTGGCCTGCGGCACCGCCGCTCCCGAATCATGCAGAGAGCAAACGCAGTCTGCGGCGCCGATGTGTGAAGTGAGTTTGACTGTTCCGCCCCAGATGGCGGTTTCCGTTAATTTTCTCAGGGTTTGCGGGGAAGTCCGCAACACAAGACAGTCGCGGGCCCCTTTGGCGTCCCCGGGAGGACATGTAGGGCATCCAGGGCCCTGACTAGGCCAACGCGACGTTGCGCCGACAAGCGGTGGAGCGTGAGGCCCCCCCGTGGCCACGGTATCTTCGGTCGAGCCTCGACCTGGCCGCATGCCCAATGCACCTACAACATCGTCGCGATCTCGTGCAAATCGACCAATGACCACCCCCAGAAGGGAGGCCCGTCGCGTCACCAGTAGTGGGCTAGTGACGGCAGTGGTCGACACCAGTATTGGGCTGGTGCAGATGGTATGTCCCCTGGTGTGCCGTATGGTGGCAGAAGGTGAAAACATCAACCGCGGACCTGTCCCCCTTAGGGCGGTCGCTAATGATGCGCATGGTGGACGGTCGCCTTTATCCCAATGGCTTCGCTCTCAGCCGAATTGCTGTCGGCACCATCCTGAGATAGCCTAGCAGTCATCGAACTCGTCTGGGGTGGCACCACGACGGAAGCCAACACGCACAACACGGCCGCGAAACTGCCAGACAACGAGAATACGTGTCATGCCCGCCGCTTCTAGACTCAATTGGGGTACTAGCGTCGGTGACGATTGCGACGATAGAGAGAACGCTTTTCACGGGTGCTTGCCTGGGAAACATTCGGCGGCGCGTTTCGAACCTGGGGGTGGGCCCCCTCCCCAACACTCGGCGCCGTCGATCAAAACCAGTGGGACTCCCCTCCTCCCAACCCCCCCTCCTCCCGAATCCCCCCCCCGTCCCCCGCCCCTCCCAAAGGGGGGGGGCGGGGTCAAGCCGCATGTGGGCCCAATCCCAACCCACTGGGCCCAATCCCAACCAACTGGGACCAATCACAACCAGTGCGAAAAGCAAACTGGGCCCAATTCCAACCATCTTGGGATAGCCCCGCAATAAACTTTTAAGTGTACAGAAGCCCAAGACGACTGCGAAAACCAAGTGGCACCCCTTATGTCAACGCAGAAGATCTGGAAGCCAACATGTGTGCTCGAGTTGGAATTGATCTCAGTGTTTGGCCTGCGCACGAGCACAACGTTAAGATGGGCAAGAGGGCACCGAAGCGTAAGCAAAAACGGTTCGCATTGCATCGATTGTAAAATATGCAAGTTGGATCCTCCTAGTACTAGGAGTAGTAGTAGTAGTAGTAGTAGTAGTAGTAGTAGTAGTAGTAGTAGTAGTCGTAGTCGTAGAAGTAGAAGTAGTAGTAGTAGTAGTAGTAGTAGTAGTAGTAGTAGTAGTAGTGATAGTAGTAGTAGTAGTAGTAGTAGTAGTAGTATTAGTAGTAGTAGTAAAAGTAATGGTAGTAGTAGTGGTGGTAGCAGTAGTAATCGTAATCGTAGTCGTAACCGTAGTCGTAGTAGTCGTAGTAGTCGTAGTAGTAGTAGTAGTAGTAATCGTAGTAGTAATAGTCGTAGTAGCAGTAGTCGTAGTAGTAGTAATAGACGTAGTAGTAGTGGAATAAGTAGCAATAGTAGCAACCGTCGTAGTAGTAGTAGTAGTAGTAGAACTAGTAGTAGTAGTAGTAGTAATAGTAGTAGTAGTAGTCGTCGTCGGAGTAGCAGAAGTAGTAGTAGTAGTAGTAGTAGTAGTAGTAGTAGTAGTAGTATTAACAGTAGTAGTAGAACTGGTGGTAGTAGTAGTCGCTGTAG